GAGGTGATGCAAATTTAAGAGAGATGCCTCAGCGAAACATTTTCATTTCCGTAACGATAAAGGTGATTTAAAAGGCTTCCAAACAAACTTTGAAACATTATTTTTACAAGTATTTGTCACAATCTGACACCTGTCAATTAGAGAGCGCGCAAGAAAAAGAAAAGCGAAGGAACATTTGAAAACCAACAGAACTAGTTTGGGAAGGACTGTCACGACAATGTTTTCTTCAAAATCAGTTAATGATCTAACGGAAAGTATTATTCACTCTCATCGACGATTCATTCATGTACGAAGATTTACCTCTGTTCATTAAGTAAACGGCGAGGAAATTAATTGTGAGTAAATTCGATCTTTTTATTTTGAAGTTGTGAGGGTTTGCTCGTTTGTTTGCTGTAATCGCGTATTTAACTCTGATCTTTCCTTCACGAAAACTAAATTTGAACGGCACACTCCAATGAGACACAAGCGGGAATGTAATGCGGTCTTTTCTCAAAAAATTCCTTCAATTTCTGTTGTGCAATTTAAGGTACAAATGTCCAAATTGAACGGAATTGGAAAGACTCACCAGGAGCGTATATTTGTTGTAGAACTTAAATTAAAACTTCGCTCGCTCTTTCACTATGAACAAATTGCTCGAGAAAATTCAGATATTAAATGAATGAAAGTTCCATCGTTCAGTTTAACTGTAACCAAATACCTCACGTTCCAACTTTCTGGGTACTTTTTGTGAACGATTAAAATTAATTGCAGAAGGTTTTTAGGCCGCTTGTCAACCAACGTAATGACACTATTGTTTATACAAATTCATTCTGAAACCAATATTTTTCTGTCAACCAAAGTGATTTGATAGAGACAAAAGAGAGGATTCATAAGTTATTTATCGGCTTGAGGTAGTGACCGACGTGTTTGCTTAAAAATACTGCCCAGCCGGAAAACGAGGTATATTTATGAAAAAATGACAACGAAAGTTGGGATGTACTTGGCGACTCACGAAAGCGTTACCGTGGCCCGTGGGCAGAGATAGGAAAATACTGACCGGGTAAAGAACCAATCAGATTGCAAGATTCGTTACCGTGCCCTCTAAAAAAACAATAAAATTATATATTATACCAGCAGTTACTGGCCATATACAACTGAGTAATGGTCTTTTTGATAAAGATTGGAAAAATTTCACCCAGCAACTGATTTAAGAAATAAAATTTTCCCTAAACATAGTTATAACTATATTTCATGCTTACCAATAGCAAACACATGAGGTGGCAAAACCCCCAGTGACTTTCCATGATATTCTTTGATTCTTTCCTTTGAGTAAAGTTCTTTAATTTCATGATAAGGGTTGACAGCAAGAAGAATATTGGCCACATAAGTCTGCAGAATAATGAAATCATAGGATGATGCTTGCTTGGTGATAAAGCTGAAAGTTATCAAAATTGATTATCTGCAGCAAATAGAGACAACAACACACTTCTTTCCTGGTGGCCAAGGGATGCTGTTTTAAACACATTCGCATCATAGGATCCAATTACAATAGACTTAATTTCAAAACAAAAACAACTTTTTTTTTAATCTTTTGTATCTATGCTAATCAGTTTGAGCTCTCCCTGCCTCAATTGCATCATAAGAATTCAAGAAAACTTTTAGTGCCCACTGAGGCAACAAGGACTCACAAATACAAAGTGTATTTCTGCTATTTTAGAAAAATGTGTATTAACTTTGAATAAATTGTCTCTTCCAACTTTTATCATTACCATATGCTTTAGAATGCAGAGTACAACACAATGACCTTAACACAAATCATTATAATCACAAAAAAAAATACAAAAGCAAATAAATAAGATCAAAATTCACCAATAGCAACCTAAACCTTAAACTTCCAAAGGTGATTAACATGTGACTTCTCCCTAAAATGTCTAAACATTATCCAGCAAACAGGTCATGAGAATATTCCAACTTATCAGGTAGAAGTTGTTATCTTGATCTATCACCAAATTCTCAAAACTTATTTACAAGGAAACGTGTAGCAGCTAGAGGGGAGAATTAACAATCAGATCTTGGGAGTTAAAGAGTTAAGGGAGTTTTTAAGAGTTTTACAACAAAATTTTTTGCATAATGCTTTGAAAACTCTTCATTCTCAATGTGTTATTGATGGATTCAGTGACCATGATAATTACATATCAAGTAAGCCAGGTAACCTTATCAGCTTCTTTTCAGGACAAAGAATAAGTGTCTATTTCAAGCATGCACTTGTGGTAAGCAAGAGTTGAAAATTGTAGGGCTATATAATTTTAAGAGAACATACATATATTTTGTCTTTCTGGTATCTAATTTTCAAGTTGTGTAACAAAGTGGCTTCATTGAGGAACATCAAAGAGCCTGAAAAAAATTTAGAAAATAAAAATGCTATCAGTACATCAGTTCAGTATCATTTGTTCACAACAGTTCAGACCATAACAAAGGGGTTGTGTTAGGTTTCTATAACACAAAGCAGCCTAAAGTATTCATTACTTTTATTGGAGAAGAAATTGAAGTTACCCTAGGAGTTCACTGCTATGCATTTAAGGGCCGAACCTTGGATAAGTCTGATGTCATCTTCAGAACATTTTCCAAACACAAAGCATGACAAGTGTTGCCTGGCTTGGTATCAAATTCAGGCAGGGTTAAGGGTGCTAACCTTGGGCCTTGCATCTCATGTTCACCAATCGCACATACTTAGACATAAATGTATGTTTGCACTTAAGTTATCTGGATGACTGTCCATGCACAAATATTGCCCTGATCAGGATGCCCTTCCCCCTGATCTACACTGAACAAAAATCAAAGCTGTCCAGTGATAAAAACCTTTAGTGTTAATGTTTAAAACAATGAAAATAAATATGTAATAAAAGTGAAATTTGGCTCAGTTTATCCACAAGCTTACAACAGCTATAAAAACATGACTAAGCCCTTTAATCATTATGCCATAAAATATTCAGCAAAATTGACTGAACAAAATAGCCATAAAGTATATTAGGGTTTGCATAGCTATGAACCGTTGCACCAAGTTTACTTTCTGAACTTTCCTTTTTTCCTTCGCTTTTTTTCTACTTTTTTTCAGATTTTCTTGTGTGTCATAATGGAGTAACGTGTGGTTTTTCTGGTTTTCATTTCTTTTTATTTGACCCACGTACCTAGCTAGTGGTCGGAATCCTATAAATTTTTTACCGAAACTTTCTTTATATTTTAATTTCTCGCAATTTCAACCCATCTTTCAACTAAGTGTTAGCGATTTACGTGATTTAAACGCTGACAGCGTGTAATAAATTACAAGATTTTCAGATGCCAACACTGTCTGAATCAATTACAACAAGGAAATTTAATCAGTTTCTCCGAAAATATACGGTAAAACATCTGTCAGAAAGTTACGAACTCACCATCACCTACGGATCGTGAAAATTTTATAGGCCAACAGACACTTTAAACTACGGGAAAATTATTTCAAAATCGACAAAATGATTCACCACAAACACTCAAAAGTCTAAATGTAAATCCACCAAGTTGATTCCTTACAACTGACACCTTACTGCTGGAGTTTTTTAAGAAAATAAACTTACAGTTGTCCTCAAAATCTCTCGTGTTATCCTTCTCCGATGGGAACACTCTATCGTATGGAGCCGTTACAACCTACAAGGAAGTTCAAATTATATATTTCTCTTCGTGATTTTAAACAGAAAGCATGGTTCTTCGCGGAACGCGCAAAATAATGCGTAGTGACTATTCCAGCTATTCAAACCTTTCCTTTCGCTCCATCCACCTCAACGCTGATCGTGTCCGATCCTAAATCGACTATTTCGCCCAAACGAAATCCATGTTCGTTATCGGGGACCCAGACCTTTTTTCCACCATCCATAGCGTTAGACAAGGTCTAAAACACGAAGTACATACAAAGATATCTGAAAAGGAAGTATTCTAACAACTCCACCAAAGAGCTTAGCCACCAACTGGCAACTTTATTTTCCTTGCCGGTTCGCATTTGTGGTCACGTGAAAAAATCATATGACGTCATAGCAACAAGGACTTACCCTTCCGGCTAAGGGTGAAGTCAAGTGTAGTGAAGTGTTGTGTATTATACGGCTTCAGTTTCTTGGTACAATACAAAAAATCAAATTAATTTTAACGTTTCTGTAAATAGAAAGAGAGTGAAGAATGGCAAGGTGAAAATTGGCTTTTGAAGACGTATTTACCAGCGGCATTGAAACGTGCATGGAAGGTTTAACAAATGGAAAGAATGTTTATTTGATATACGAGAAGCTTCTTTTTTAATTTGAAAGGGAGCTTCGGATTGTTTTATTGAATTACATCACTCTACGAGATTTTGGGATTCTAGAGAAAACTACAATAGAAAAAGTTTAGAATACAAACGCACGAAAAAGACACGACGTCACGACTGATCGCGGTTTTTTGTAATTGTGCCCTTTGAGGCGCGAAATAAGCGGCAAACCTTCACTGTGCGTATTCGTAGCTCTGCGGGCTACATAATTTAGTGTTAGCAACTGAGTTGAAAACGTAAATTGGCCACCGTAAAGAGTTAAAAGGCTGACGTTTCGAGCGTTAGCCCTTCGTCAGAGTGATTGGAGGAATTGTGGGTTGTGTGTGAGTTTATATGCAGAAAATAGAGCTACGCTATTGGTTGGAATATGATGACGAGAAAAAAGAATAAATTAGTTGAACGAAAAGCGCTCGTTGATACCGGGGGATTAAGAGTGCCGATTTGGAAGATAAATTTTTGTTCTGGCGTTTTGCGGCTTTCCGAACTGCGGACTACGGTTTGTTGTGTGGGTCGGACGTTTCCCGCCTTTTACAGCACTGTAGAATTACTTGACGTGGGCAGAGGTGACACACTATCACACCTAACCCTACGACATAATTTACTGCCAGTATTTATTTCCTAACTTAAAAGTCTCCTTATAAATAAAACCCCTCTCCTGATTTAACTCACAACTTCAGAGAAATTTTGGGAACACTTTTGTAAGACATCCAATATTTAATACATCTGTAATGTCCTGAAAGTTACTTCAGTGTTAAATCCAATGCTCTATTAAAAAGAATTGAAAGTGAAACAAGCTTTGCTCTTCTATTTAACCAGAATTAAAGTAGACTAAAAGCCCCATAATCCACCCCACAAGACATTAGAAATTGGCGACAAAAAAAACATTCAGGTGAGGAGGAACTTTTAAGAAATTCGCCCAGTTGCGAAATATCACTATCGAAAATGTAGTCCGCTACTCGAACCACTCAATATAGCCCAAGTAAATATCATTAAAACACCGAAAAATTACCTATCCTGACCACATAAATTTAAAAAGGGCATATTCACAAATTTGCTTTCAAAATCGACAATTTGGGTTTGAAAAGTGTCTTTAGGGTTATAAATGTCTTAGCAACCCTTTCCGCAGCATCCACTGTAATTAACCCCTGACTTTATTATTCATATCTGCTTCTTCTGAGAATTTTTACCAGGGTAACAGGAATCCCACCCTCCAAAGTGACGTTCCAGTTGCTTCGCAACAGCGATTGACAGCCTGTCATTATTTCTTCCAGCCACGATCTGTATGCCCAGCGGCAGTCCATTTCTGTCAAGTCCAAGAGGGCATTGCGTGACTGGAAGATGAAGCACGTTGAAAATAGAAGTGTAACTGAAATTAAACGGGGCAAGGGATGGGCGATGATGTGAAAGCGCCGTACTCGGGTGAGAGGGATAAAGCAAAATGGCGTCTTCCCCGAGAAGGGTTTGAATTTCTTCTCTTAATTCGACTCCCATTTTCACAAAGTTTGATGCCACATCCGGCAGGCAGTTGGGCAAAGGCGCTCGAACTTGTTCAATCCCCGCGATCGTCAGGGTGACGTAATGATATTTTGAATAACCCAGGACATACTTGAAAATTTCGGTGAACGGGTTTATTGCTAGTGCCTCAGACTCATTGCTTAAATTCTGTGATGCGAATCTGTTATTCTCAGCTGCATGAACTGTAGCAGACCAGATGAGAGGAGAATACTGAAACAAGCTCATGTGAGTATCTTGAACTGTTGCATCATAGCGCTCCTGTAAGAAAGAGCAGACTTGTCGTAGGGCCATCAGAATGTCGGGTTCCACAGGTGAAGTCAGGAAAGGGCCCTCTATGTCCAAAGTGTAAACTTTGAGAGATGAGAGATCTATTTCTTCGTCCAATCGAAGTTCATGGAGTCGAGGACCTGCCATAGCCTTCAGCATTAAGATGAGATCGTCGGCGTACCTACACAGTGGTCCCATAACTAGATACTCGTCGAAGGCCTCGCTAGTGCCTTTAGGGAAATGTCCTTGATTTGGGACTATGGAAGGACTTGGCTTATGACCAAATATTCCGTTGAAGAATGCGGGCATGCGCACACTTCCACCTGCAGGAGAGTTGGCACTATACTCAGTCATGTAAGATCACGTAAAGAGTAAAGAAAAATTTGAGGATGTACGTTAAGATTAAAAGTACTTCTAAATTGCATTTCGATGTCAGCAGGTTGATATCTCAAATTAGCAAGTATGATCAGCATCATTAGTGAAGTTTCTATTAAGTCAAGGACTTCAGAAATTTGTTCTTTGGCCTTTGAGCGAAAGGCATTAACCCTTAACTCCCAAGATCGGATTGTTAATTTTCTCCTCTAGCTGCTACACTTTTCTTTATGAATAAGTTACGAGACTTTGGTTTTAGATCAAAATAACAACTACCTGAGTTTGAATATTCTCATTACCTGTTTGTTGGATAATGTATGGATATTATAAAGGGAAAATTTACATGTTAATCACTTCTGGGAATTATAGAATTAAGGTCTTTCGAAACGTATATCTCGGAATGACCGAACCATTTGGCATTTTGCGTGCATCAGTGGTAGTTTACATTCAAGCTGACCAGAGATTAAGACAGATATGAATATTAAAGTAGAGAATACGGTTTCAGAGACAGGATGTAAAAGTATGTGCCGGAGTCCAGCCTGTTTTAGGCGTAGAATTTCGCCGCTTTTATCACTACTAGGATCCCCATTCCTAACACTGGACTGCTTGATGCCGAAGAAAGGAATATTATAAAGAAGGACTTTCTGCTAAACTTCATAATCTTTTTTTCTTTTCTTTTCTTTTTTAAATAAGAAGTTTGTTGGGGGTCCAATTGCACGAAGATGATAATAACTAAATTTAGAACAATTGTCAAATTTCGGGTTGCATTCCATTATACAACTACATTAGCTTGCCAAGTAGCCACAGGACGGCTTTGAGGTACACGTAGCTCACAAAAATAGGGTTTTTATACGTGGTATATCAAATAAGAAGATTTTGACGGTCATGGCACAAAGGTTAACAGAATACATCTGACACTTCAAAAACAATAAAATCACGCTTGGTTAAGTCTGAAAAGGTAGTGAAAGTCATTAGAATGCAACACCTGAGCGGTGATACTTTAAGTCTTAAGTTCTAAAGATTTCTTGCGATTAAACAGGTGTGTTTTGTGAAATATCTCAATGTTTTGAAGACCTTGCCAAAACTAAGCCTAAGCCTTAAAGATCTCTAAAACTCTTCGAAAAAAAAAAAAAAAAGGAAAGAAAGAAAGACTTTGTGAAATGAATGAAAATACCGGCAGGTCAGAATGTGAGAGCCCTTTACGATAGCGCTCACCGGCAAAAGCAAGTAAGAAGGACTGGGAATTACATAGGCCAGCCGTTGATTAAAACCAAAACATCCTAGATAGAATGAGCATGCAATTTTTTTTAACTCTAAAGAATGAAAAAGTGCGTCACAAATCGTCAATGATTGACGATATGAGCCACTCCACTGAATACGATTATAATAATACAATTTTTAGTACGTCCAAAATAATTCCGACGATCCACTTACCGACATCAGAACCAACACCGCACACTGAACCAGCCGCGGAAATAATTGCCCCTTCCCCGCCAGAGCTACCTCCGGCTATTTTCGATGTGTCGTAAGGATTATTTGTTCTTCCGTACACGTTGTTAGCTGTCTCCCACCACATACACAACTCGCTACAGTTAGTGACAGCGATCGGAATCGCACCGGCTCGCAAGAGATTTTCAACAACATTCGCGTTTTTAGTAGCAATCGTGTTCTTACGATCCACAAGTCCGGCTGAATGAGGGAATCCTTTACATGCAAGTGATTCTTTCACCGTCACAGGAACTCCAAGCAAAGGTTTAGTCATTAAAACAGATTTTTCGTCGTTCAATTCGCTTGAATCGAGAACCTTGTCAATACCTCTTGCCTCTTCCAAGGCTTCGTGGAATCGATCCGCTACAACAGCATTTATCAAGGGATTAACTTCGTGAATCCTGTCGATAAAAGCTTGAGTCACTTCCACACAAGTCATCCTTCGTTGTTTTATATACTGCACAATATCTTTGGCTGGTAATTTCAAAATCGGATTGGAAGGTCCGCTAACAATAGCACCTCGTTGTTTCCCATAAATAAACTCCGATAATCGAACACTGAAATCCCACAGAAAACCAACAGACTCTAACGTCCTAAATACCAGAGAAAAAACCGATAGCAAAATCCTGATCAAACCCATCTCGAGTATAATTGTTTACACGGCAGCGCTGTGAACAACACGTCATAGAAGTGTCCTTTGTTTGCCGTTTAGAGCTGTTTCAGTATATATGAATTTTTAAATACAATTTAGCATATTTCATGATTGCCGTTTCCGCGGTTTACAAATCCCGCAATTCATTGGATCAAAAGACCTAAACACATTCCCGGAGGTTTTTCCGAGACTTCCTATTCCTCTGTCTCTAAGCAATTTTACGTGACCTCTCTTCAGCGAGAAACATCCACAAACGTTGACAACTAACTTATTTGATGATCGCTTATCGCAACCTTACAAAAAACACGCGATCTCTATCAGGCGCAACTGTTCTCTGTTCAACTCTACTTTCTCAGAAGTGTTTCTAACTTTCCAATTCCCTCGAATCCTAATTACATATCCATCCTATGACTGAGTAGAAACAATAAACACAAAGGTGTTCATTGGTTAAGTGAGGAGTAATCATTTATTCGTTCAATAGCAACATTCGACATTGCACCAAAGTAAATTATCACGAACGTTCACTAATTCGAACTATGAATTGCCATGAACTCTGTGGTAGCAGGGCTGCAACAGTCTTCAAAATACTTTCATGGATAAAATAAAAAAACTACACTACTGATGACCCGGCTAAAGATAACTTGGTAAAACACTCAAGTTGGAGAACAGACCATTCCTGCTTCTCGCTCTTCAGGGGGTATTGTTCCCGAAAAAATGACCGCGAAGGAGTTAAACATCTGCTGCTGGGTACAATTACATTCATGTCTGATCCCCACGAACCGTTAGCCTTTCGGCCTTGGGACTAGCTTTAAAAATCGAAACTTGAAAAAGCCAATACGTTAAAATGATATTCTCTAAGGGTTGGCAAGAGTGAATCCGGCCCAACGCACTGCTTTTCTTGAAGATGTTCGCCCTCTGACTATGACATAATGTAAAACATATTACGAAAAGCTATGAAGATAGTGGTAAATAAGTTTCGAAATACCACGTGTCAAATAAACTTTTTAATGTTTTGCCACACTTACTCCGTGTTCATAAAATAAAATCGACTGCCTGGAATCGAAAAGAAAGACACTGTTCGTATTTCCAACAACGAGTAGTTACGAAACTTTTTAGGACAGAATTTACCCTGCAACTAGCGATTCTTGCAGGCCACCGCAGTGGTCCTATATTTTCTTTGAATGACGCAAGTACGTTTGGATGCTCGCTGAGCAGTATGGTTTCTCTTTGTTTAAATTATCTTCATACGCTCTCTTTGATTTCAGTTTTAGACAGCTGTGAAGTGTGCCCTTAAATATTCAGTCTGTTAGTGGCTTCAAAATGAAAGCTTCGATTTGCTGTTTTAGCAATCTACCGAACTGTACACAATCATAATATACATAATGAATCATTAAAGATATTTCAATCACATGTTATATCCTGTTAACTGTCCTTGGAAAATTGGACTTTTCATGATGGAAGAGCGAGTGATATAGATCCACTAATAAACCTGAATAAGAAAAATACTCTAAACGATTTCGATCGTCAAATTAAACACTATATTGATTGATCTCATCTGTCACTCCTCCTTGGAGATAAAAAGTCAGACATTTTCACCTTTGTTTCAAGCATAATTATATGATATCTTTAATAATGGCTCTTAAAAATACATAACAAACAAAAATACAGCCTCCCCCAAGTGATACACTCCAAATCAGTGGGATTACGTCATCTTTAGAGCAAACTGCATAACTTCCTCTCTGGCAACTAAGCAAATGTCTCCAACACTACAATAATTTTGATGCTAAATGAACCACAATTTAAGACTATAAGATAGCTGATTTAAGTGCCACATTTTATTCTGACACTTTTCCATAAGTATTGGGCGAAATGCATCAAAACCAGGGTCACCGAGGCTTGGAACGTGACTAAATCGACTTTTTGGTATCGCCGTATTTCACTCATTTCTGAGGGCTAACGCACAGTAAAAAAAGAAATGAGCACGTATCAAGTCCGTTGAGGCTGAAATCGAACTCCATTGAGCAATAAACCTGATTTTATTCTTTCAGAATATACAAGAGTTTGAAAACAAAATTCGTTTACGGTTCTGATGTCATAATGGTGGTTGAGAAATGATTTCGCTTGTTTCAAATACCAGGTATCGCAAGGTACTCTACGACAAGCGATTAATTTCCCCCACCTTTATGTTCGCTTCAAAATTTAGTAATGACCTCTACTGAAGTAACATTTAATATCAAGATGATAAAATATACTCAGTCGTAAGCACATCCACTGAGGAACGAGACAGTTCCGAAGGGCAAGAAGTAAAAGACTAGATACCTTCTCACCGCAAAAGTGATTTACTGAAGGTTCTTAGTCGAGCGAAATTAATCCGACATCCACACTGTATGTAGTACAGTATTGGTTAACTAATAATCTTAATTGCCCTTCTGTAGTAAATATCAGTTTAAAAATGTTCTTGTTGCACTTTGATCATACACGCAATAGCGCATATGAGATGATCTGACAAATCAGAAAGGGTTGAAAAGCACAGCCAATCAAATAAAACTCCTCACGCCATCGTTGTCCGTCACGTGATCTTAAGCCCTCCCTTCTTGTCAATTAAACATTTCTACACTAGCCTGTGACTAGCTCTTTGTGCCATCCCAAAATTTTCGACTTTTCTGACAGTCTCCTTTCACAAACCGCTTTGAACATCTCGTATAAATAAATGAAAAAATAGATTTTACTTTACACACAACTACCATTCCATTCTGAATTGTAGTAAGGACACTGTGGTGTCATCAGTTTGCTGTTGTAGTTTGAAATCTCTGTTTTTTTCCCCAGAAACGAAAGCTACGAAGTACAGCCCAATTCCTGATCTTTTTTTTTTCATCCACTCAAAATCTAGAAGGCCACTATCAAACATTACTGGGCATCTCTAGCATTTCAGATCTAAGTTACCCACTCAACAATCAACTAAAATGGAAGAAGCCAGCAAAGATATTTCTAATTACCTTCTTAGAATAAGACACAATTTCTTGTTGTCGAGCGCAGACTTGGAAATTTTACAATACTTGCTTTCTTAAGGATAACAAAAACAAAACAATATTGAAATGCAAAAGTTTCTCAAACTTGAAGCATTGTAATATTTGTTTTCCTCATTCAAATAAAAATATTCTCGAGACATTTTCATTTAAACGAGACAGCCAAAATGATTTAGAATACTGGGAAACGAGAGAGATAAATTTCCAAATCACTCCAAAAATTTAAAAACGACAACAACAATTTGTACTCTTAAGAAAGCTGTCAACATAGATAATAAATATAATCAGGATTAACCAACAAGGGATTCTCCTCTATTCAATACTAGTTTTACGATTCTAACTTTATACATCACGTGGTACATCGCGTCAAATATCGTCACGTGGTACATCACGTCATATACTTCATTATTGCTCTTAATGCGTAAAGAAGTTCAGCCTGAAGGCGAGACTCCAACAGTAAAAGGTTGATATGAACCTAACAGTAAAAAGGAAGATTTATTCAAGTTACTGATGTGCCATGCTGAGATGCGAAGAAATAGGAAATAAAATAACTTCTCAGATGAACAGTAACCCCAGGAGACGAGGCAACGTTCTTTAAATAATCGCCACAGGCATTCCACAATTACCCCTATCAATATTCACATTTAGTTCCACTAAGTCGCACCTCAATAACTGTAAGGCCACAGCATTACCAACACACAGAGAACGGTCATAGATACAGTATCTGGATTTTGATTTCAATTGTTAGTTTGTTTGCTTTCTCTTTTTTTTTTTTCCTACGCAGGATTGGACAGATCATACCTTCTCTGAATGGTCAAGGTCTGGCATAAATCCCATGTAGTCATCAACGGTAACTTTTTCGGGACGGCAAGCAACCTATAAGAAATATCAAAGGTCATTCCCCTCTTTGACTGATAAGTTCTATTTATTGTTAATGCATAAATTTTTTCAAAAACTCAGTTGTCTACAGTCTATTGACCCTTTGACTCCCTCAAAGTGACTAGAATCTACTTCCTCCTTGTGATATCACCCCTGAATCACACATGAAGGATATGAATCACAGAATAAAGGAAATGATCACCAACTAAAGAAGCTCTTGACTGTTAAACAAAGTCTCCTCGTCAGCAACTTAAGAAATGTATAGAGAACAATATAGACAGTATGCATACTGTTGTTTGGAGGCAAAGGGTTCAAAGGAAATTTGGAAAATGACAATTGAAAGATAACAACCACTCACCACTTTAATGTACTTTTTAAATGGTCTTTCCAACAGCTTGTTAACCTACAAGATAAAAAAACAGCTGCTTGAAACTGCATTATTTTTAAAATGACTATTACTTTCCATTACCTAAATTTCAAGTCTCAGATTCACATATACATTACCATATCTCACAGCAAACTAGTACAATACATCTCTTCTAGCATGAAACATGCACCTGCTTTTTTATTTTTTTCTATGTGGATTGTGAAAATGAAAATTTACCTCAGTGTATAGGTAATCATCATGATATATGCCAAAAACCAAATGAATATAGTTCCAAGTAGCTGTGCGAAAAGTTGATGTGTCCACATTTTCCACTTTACCCAACCTGAGATCATAACAAAATGATGTTCACCTATGCATAGTGTTTTACAAAATAATTATAAATTCTGAAAAAGTGTTGCTGTTAAATATGACTATGCAGCTTTTGTGCAAATTTCTTTTCGTGAATTTTTCATTGACAAATGAGTGCTTGTTCTTGCAAATACTTGCTCAGTGGTCAATTTAAGCAATGCATTCTTGTCAAAGACAAAGGCCAAAAGTAAACTCTAATGTTACTCATTTTTCCTCTTGTCTCTAGATCAACCCTGTAGAAAAATCATCTCTTGTTTATGGCTTGTGCAGGTATTTTTGTTTCATCCCATAATCACTAGAAGCAGATTGCAACATGTAAATTTTTTCCATTTGCCATAAAAGTTATGATGCGCCTCTCCAATATCTCAGATTTCATTCAACTTAAACATGGACTTTATCTTAACACTGACACTCAGATCTCATAAAATAAAAATCTGGTTTGAAAGTTGTACAGTGAGGTGAGACCACCAATTACTGACTACTACTTCTGACAAAGGATAAACATTGCTTACGTGTTATACGTCAGGTTGAATGCACAGTTAAATTTATCGTCCAACATCTGACCCATGTCAGGGTAGAGTCTGTTGATAAGCGAAAAGCCATGCTCTTCCCACGAGTAATCTTGCACTCGGAAGGTTGATATATCACTTTCTTCTCTGCTTGCAAAATCATAGTAACAAAATGAGGCATCTGTTAGGTACCTTGCTATACCTGGCTGAGGTGCTTCATTGGCAACTGAAACTTTGTCTTTACAAGTGGAAACTAGAAATGTAAAAGAGAAGGTAGTGTAACAAACAACAACTTCTAGCAAAGGAAAATCTCTTGAGCTAGGTGTAAGCTAAGCTATACAAGACTTATCTTGGCTCAAATTGCCTAAGAAATGATATAAAAACTGCCAATGAAAGTAGCCACAGACTTACGAAAAGTATTCCAAGCTAAGTGCAATCAAGGCAAGAGGAAATTCAAGTGACATAACCTACGCACACTTATATTCATTGGTAAAAATTTAATGACTGACAATTTTGTCTGTGCTTGAGTACTTTTGTTTGTTCCAGATTAGTGGCAAATGAGAGAATAGGGTATGTGCAAAGTAAAAGCAGAGGCACATTAAAAATAACCAGAACCAAGACTATCCATAAGCTGGTTAAACCATGAATAGGCTTAACTTCATTTATAACAACATGTTACAACAGCTTTCACACAAAACACCTTCTCCTACCTTCTCCACTTTCTACTTTTTCAAACTGTTGAAACAGTTCCTCCTGTGTGGTCTCCAGAAGTGTATCCTGTTTGGCTTCTGCCTCCTTCATTTTCTCCACCAGGTATTTCACGCTTGATTGATTGTCCACACCATTAACAGGAAGGTTAACTCCTTCGATTATTGCTTTGTTAAACTCAGGGAGTGGTTGTGTTTTATACGTGTGCCCTCTGTCAAAGTCTATTTCTGGTGTTATTCCACAGCCATATACAAAGCTACACAGACTGTGGGTATGAACGAGGATTACAATGGCCTGGACGAGTTCTGAAAGTGACCAATTGTCTTGTCCTTTAAGAAGGTTCTGAAACATGACATTAAAATTTTTCATGACACTATGACAGTTAAAACACAATCGCAGTCAATGTTCCAAGGCTGAATGCAATGTTGCAGCACACAAGTAAATGGGATCACAGTCAATTTTTGGCTGAAAACAACTTTTCTTTCTTGAAGTAGCAAGTCTTAAAAAGTCACCATCTTAGTTGTACAGGTTTTCATTATTACTGTTTACTCATGAATATATCCTTGTTTAGACAAAATCATCATTTAGAGGAAACCAGATTTGTCATTTCTTTTATTATTGTAATAAGGAGAAAATTTTGTCCAGACATTGTGTCTGACCTTGTTGGACACTTGCCAATTTAGCCAGACATAATTCAATGAAAAACAGTAATCTGAAGCCCTGCTGTCTTCTGGTCAAAAACCAGCAAGATACATGCACATGCAGTCATCAAGTTTCATGTTCCCTTTAATGCCTCAATGTTGCAGTTTACTTTACCACATTTTATATTTATATGTACTTCTTAGACTCCAATCCAATTTTGACACCTACCTCAATGTGACTGGCTTTCAGTAGCCATGGCTGGTGTGCTAAGATCTTGTTGATCTCACAGAGAGCTCTTAGTTTGGCTGGAATGTAGTTCAGACCTTGAAGCCATTCCTTCTCTCCTTGTTGTTTCAGAAACTCTATCTCATACAATCGTACCTAAAAAAGGACAATTAAACAGCCAATTACAACTAAGAGTACAATAAATGGCAAATTGTCCCAGAATGATAGCACAGTTACTGTCTCAATGTCTCAATTGTCAATGTCAAAATAATTGCCCTGAACACAATAATCATACTGTGGAAAATTCCTTTTCCATGTCTGTAAAATAACAGATTAAATAACCTTTAGTTAGTTTATATAACTCAATTTGACACAGGGAGTTCTTGAAGGTAGTCTGACTGTTTGGAAATGGTTAAACACACTAACTACAGATGGGAAAAATTAACTTTTGTTATAGGAGTTGTAATACATACCAAGAAGCAACAGCGATGCCTGCTTGCACCCTAAAAAAATGAAACCAATTAACAACAACTCATTTCAAAAAAAGACGAAAAGTGTATTTTGTACCCTAATATATTCCTTAATATTTTGTAAAAATTCTAATCTCACTTAAATCCTTTAGACTATAACTACTAAGAAATAAAAATATTACAGGGTTCTGCATGACTGCTGTGAACAGGCTGCAAATTCAGCCTTTATAGTTTGAATTACTTGCCATGGTGACCAAGATGGTTGCAGCTTGAAGACCTCACTACAACCAGCACTATTCTTAATGCCAGCAAAAATGAAATGTGCCATTCACATATGGAACAGGACTCCCATAAAACATAAACTCCTTTTCAAAGCACAACAAATTGTTCAGTCCTTTTCCGTTTCTCTTCATGCTCAACATGTTACTCCCACTGAGAGATAACTGGAATGAAATCTCTCCCACTGACAAAACACTATCCACCAAAGAGGTGGTCAGATCAGACCAACCTATCTGTTGGAGGTTGTTATTTAGATATTTTACCAAATGTAAATTGCAATGTAACTACTAAAGAGAATAACTATACCATTTAATTAATAATTATGGGAATGAAAAGCTGGGTAGGGTTGCACTATGAAAAAACAACTAATGCACTAACCATGATAGCAATGTAACATCTCCAGATAAAAGGTAGGGGACCTTCCCCTTTAAACATAGAAAACTCAGTCTTAAGGAAGCATTCCAGGTACTGAGGGTGAAGTGCAATCAGAGAAGTGACATTTGTGACACGTCCACTTAACAGGAAGGATTCCACAAGCAAGCTAAGCACCTGCTCATCATCAGTATCCATAGAAGGAACCTGTTCAAGGATGCATATGTTTAGTACTACAAAATAATAAGTGATTGATGCAAAGCATTGCATATACAGGGTTTTATATAGGGTTCATAGCTCTGAGATTTCTGATATTTAACTCATCACCACAGCAATATTAATCGAGAGCAGGGATAATCAAAGTGTGCAGGTGCTGGCTAATTATGATTTTCATCTTTTTTGGTTTTTCTCTGTTAGCTTGTTGTTTCTTTTTATTCTAACATTTGTTTTTTAACATTTGCATGTTCTTCAGAATCTAAGTTGATTGATGTCTCAGACTTCCCAGTAATTATTGCAATATCAAACACATTTAACTGCCTTGAAAGTTTATTTTGAGGATCAAAGACTTCAGACGAATGTGTGTGAGATTTAATTGCCTGCAAACTCAGCTGGTAAATTTGCAAGACTTTGCTGCTAGCTCTGTCTATCTTTGATTAAAGATATTGCAGAAAAGGCAAGAAAATTGACTGCAAAACTTGAAGAAATGCTCCTCCTTCTTACTTTTCAGCAACAGCAACTTTGCTCATTTCAAGGCAAATTGTACCAATATAGTAGTAGAAATTGTAGTGATGCCATTGTAAGCACTAAGTAAAAACTCAAATATTGAATGTGTAGAAGAACATGTTTTAATTTTTGCAAAACCACTTGGGAAGGTTTATCAGTTTATCTATACTCCCATTCTTCAGGATGTTTTGCAACCTCAGGAGGAGAAGAAATTGCAAATGTATTTTCTCAACAAAATATATGACAAAAACTCAGCTATTACACTATGATAGGCAAGGCATTCCATTGACAAATTAAAAGAAACTTTTTATACTTTTTGCATTTCAAATGTTTGAAGAAATCATTAAAATCAAATTCACACATGTCTACTATTTATGCAAATTTAGATTAAGCATACAAATTACACTGTGTTGCCTTTCTTAATGTTTATGTTTATGTGTAAGGCATAAATGGAGCTGTAAATTATAGACTGAATTAAATTATGTACCTTGAAACAATGCTTAAAGTTTTACAATTGGGATTGGCAGATAAAAGAAGCAAACCAAGGCCAGGGAAAGAGTAGGTGGTGCATTGTCTTTTGATAACACACATTTACTCACTGTGACAAGTTGGTCACAGGGTTAAGAGATATGTTAAAATATGATGTTTCTGATGCAAAACTGTACTTGCCTTTCGGTAGTATTTGTAGGAACAAAGGCTTTTTTGGTAATGACCCTGACTGACTAACTTCATTTAGCAAAATATAGAACCATCTAACAGTTTTGGGTTAACAAGGCAAAAAGCAATGCAGAGAGCTTTGGAACACAAATGAAAAGAGAATAAGCTCATGAGCTAGATTTTGTGGTAACGTAGGAATGGAATTTGAAAGTGAACAACATGTGAGCAAACACACATGGCAATATAAATTAACCACAAGCGACACTTTTAAATTCTATTCCACAATGCTGCTGCTCACAGTTAGTTATCTAGATCAAACCAACTGGGTGAAGCCATAGTTTAGCATTAGGGAATGATGGTTTGAAAGTGAGGTCCTCCCACCTAATCTTCTCTTAATTCTCTTCACCAATGTTTCATTATGCTAAATACAAAATATTTTGTGCCCCCTTTGCCTTTCTCTCCATTAGGACTTTTCTTTCCAATAATTGAAACAATAAGTTACTTTAATATCTTGGTGAATTTGTTTTGAGGTTAACTTATCACAAAATGTTTTCATATCATTAAAATTTTCATCTCAACTTACTTCACTTACCAAAAAAAAAAAACAAAGAAGACAAAACATTGCCTTAAAACTGGAATTAGCCCTTTTTTCTGGAGGGTTTCCTGAGATGACAATCAGTTTGTCATTGACAAGATTTTGTTCCAAATCTTTCCCAGATTTGAGCTTCATCACTCCAACATTGTCTGGTTTTGTTTCAATTTTATGCTTGTCCCATGCAATCACATACTGTCCAATTTACGCATGCAAATATGATACATTGCCTCAGAGAGGAAAATATTCAAATTTTGTGAAGCTCTATGACAACTGACTCCTAGACTAGTCAGTGTTATATTGAAGAAAGCAATATCCTGTTGTAAATTTAGCCTGGAGTGTTTAGAATGAACACAAAACCACATGCTTCTTTCCTTCCCTTTTGCTGCTCACATCAGTTTTTTCATGGGGAAAACCCTATTTATTTATTTTCATTGTTCACTGGTGAGGTTTATTACCGTGATCTCAATGAAGAAGGATTTTGCTTTATACATAAATCGAGACAGAAAGCTTGTATTGTTAATGTTTCAACAGTAACTAAACGATATGAGAAATGTAATACACACAATGTACCTCAATCCACTCTACAGTTACACAATCAGTATTAGCAGAAGCATATAATATCAGTCCCTAGGCATGCAGGGTCTTCCTACACGATTCTCCACACATAAGCCTTAAAATAACTAACAATCCATTGTTGGATAAAAATTTCTACCTGTGGGAGATTCCAAGGTAACATAAAGGTCCCAATAATAATTTTGAAATATCTATATCTACGCCCTCAAGCGGACAATCAGATAGAATTAACAATGTCGAATCACCAGACCGAATTACAAATAAAACAATTCAGACTAGTGACGCACAATATGCGTAAATGATAAATTTTAATTGCTGTTGAGACTTAAAAACATATCTCATGGACCTTAGGACCTAAACTTCAGATCAATAAATATTTAAGCCGGTGGACCGAAATACGAAGATTTGCAGAAACATCATTTGCCAGCAGCAAATTCGCTTTCACTGCACAGCATTTGAGATCAAATGCTTCAGTCTACCTGAGGTACAGTATTCTTTTCGTAATGAAAAGAAATGAGATTAGTCCGTTTTCGCTTTGTGCTAATATTCTCGCGGCACGCAAGGGTGTCCATGAGATAAAAAGGCATGAAATATGGAAAGTAGAAGATACTATAGATAGAAAATAGGTACAATAGATAAATCCATTCGGCAGGGTACAAATCTACAAATTAATAAGTAAAGTACTTTGAACAGAATATGCTGAAAATTCTTTGCAGAGGTAGAAGAGGATTGGGTTAGTTCTCTATTACTGTTCGTTAAGACCAAAAAGGCAAGGTTTACAAATACCGGTTCGGCTGGCACTGGGATGATGCAACTTGAGTTTGACCTTTTGAACCAATACAGGAGATTTTTAGCGGGCGAACTACGATTACTCTAAAAACAGCGATGAATAAATACCTTTTTTGACGGAATAAACATCGAAGGCCCCTTGTGAATCGTTCGAGGAACCTTAATACCTTTTTCCTAGAGAAAAAATAACAAAAGCTGAGCGGCCATTTCTTCAAAGGAAGTGGTAAACATGACACAAATGGCTAGATCCGATACTTCACATGTTCCTTACCTTCACGGCGAGGAGCAACTCTGTACAACGCTCTCTGATATCCGAAAAGGGACTTCTAAATGACAGTCTCAAAATACAAGGCAAAACACTCGAAGAAAAGTTTTCAAACCCATTTTCCCCATTTTCTTGATGTCTGTTTGTCCACGCTTTTAGTGTTTTCCCTAGCAATTCAAGGAATTCAAGCCGCGAAGTTACGTCTCTTGTTTGCAAGCCACACAGATCTCTGATGGTGTCTATCTCACTGGGTAAGTCTTCTTCATCGTTCATGATTCCAGGATCAATCCTCAGCGAAGAAAGCTAAGGAAATTCTTATGAAACTGCCAACATATCCTCGAGGGTATGAGAGGCTTTTTCTCCGACAGCCATGATGTGACACTTCTCAGTGAAACCTATCGATATCAGCCACTCAAAACGCTTGCGGGTACTGACGTCAATGACACACCTCCAAGTTTACCATATATAGCAAGAGGAGGTAAACTATAATACGTCAAGAACTTGGACAGGGAATAATGATCGTTAGTGCAAAATGGCACGACTGACTTATTATAAGCTGACAACGTAAGAAGGAGATTAGATATCACAAAGAATTATCATAAGTCGTAGTATTTCCTTTCTTTGGGATAATGAATCTTCCGTTTCTGGATCAAAATCAAGTTTATTATCTTCCATGTTGAGATGAATAGTCAAATGAAAAAGCAAATAGGAAATTTGTTATGTTTGCTTTAATAATAGGTTTACATCACTACACTACACCAGTTCAAATCCAATGTTTTGGATAACAATGTTCAGTTCCCTGTTCAAGTCCTTTTCAAGCATTAAAAGAAAACCAGAGATAAAATTCGCCATTCAGTACAAACCAATAATTTTTTTTGACATTAATTACCGTGAAATTCAGGTAAAATCATCTGTTTCACACGAGTGTATGGTGGATTGTAATGAATTATTCACTTCCCTCTCTAAAGGAAACTTCATAACTCAAACGGACGGGAAGTCTTTAGAGAAAAATTACACTCAAGGCTATTTTTACGACCCGCTTCGATTGATTCCGTAACGAGCGCATCTAAAATTCAGAGAAAATACCTATTTCTTATTGTTGGTTGAAAAAGACCTATCATCTCAGAAAGGCTGAAAATAAGTCGTTTCTAAGACGGTAGGGGGCACGCATTATCTTTTTTAATTAAGTGAGGATGATTTAAAACTTTACACGTGAATGCTGGAGTAGTTTTGATTCTGCCGCCAAACCACAGGGAAAACCCTGAACAAAGACTCGTGGAGGTAAATTCCTGGAAAAATAACATAGAATTTCTGAGAAACTATACGTCACAAGTGACAGTTTTAGAGCTTCAGGTCAAATCTCACGGTGAAGGAAGTCGGGTTAAGACTATTCTTAGTAACAATCAAACTTAAACGAAAATTTGAACCTACAACGGAAAGTAGATGTCAAATAAAGTAAAATCGAGCAAGGCGGAATCTTAGGTGATTAGTTTTAACTGGTAATTTTCGCTCGTTAGGGCTCATTTCATTAGCCCTGAGGAATATGGATGATGGGGGTCACATTATTCCATCTTCGGGTAATGGACAGCCTGTGGTGTTCTAAAGTACAGGTCATCCGTGCCATCTGTTTTTTAATCCTTAATTCGGGCGAATTAGTGTAAATAATGTCACGTTCAAACATTTGATCGTTATTATCGACTCCAGTCTATTTTCTAAGAAGTTTCCTTCAATGTTTTTACATAGAATTAAGTATATACCACTCTTAGTAATTTTCCATTCTTGCTCTTTCTAAACAATCGCCCCAAGTAGACAAGGTAGAGTGTTTTTCAACTCAGTTCGATCTATTTTCTCTGTTTATTCTTGGATAAGCCTTATCGACTATTTCGTTATGTCACGACGCTGGAAACACAAAGGTCAAGCTATACAAACATTTCCTGCGCATGATAATGAAGGAAATGGTAACTAATTTTTTAATTATTTTAAAAAACAAACAATAAGTGGTATGTTGCTCGCACCAATCAGAACGCTACATTAGGCATTAGGATATTTATGTCCAATCACATCGCGGTATTTGGGTTGTATCGAATTTTGATATCTTGCACCAATCTGAGCCTTGTTTTTGGTCTTTGGATTTTTTCAACTGATACTGGCGCGCGAACCGGAGAGGGCGCCTTGCGTCTACATTGAGAAATGCCGGTTTTTCTGTGATTTTAATGTGTATTTTAGGCGCTTTTTGAGGAAAATACGATACTGTCGGACAGACAAACGTATTATTCATGCTGTGAAAATAGTGGATGGTTATTCGAGAAAAATGGAGTTCTCTGCTCTGTAGCACGATCATGGTTATTTTTCGTTCTCGATGAGAGTTTGTGAAACATATTTTGAAAAAATTGAATCAAATATTGCTTGAGGTGTTGATGGATTGCACCGGACACTTTAATTTGAACAGTTTTTTATCAAGCTGTGTTGCATGATTCATGATCTGTAGAGTGTGCCGATTATATTTTTCTGGAATTGATTTGCTCGGTGCTATCTCTAGATCGGAATGTCTGATTAAAATAAACTATAGACGATTTTGTGTGGCTCCGAGGCAGTTTTGTCGCTTCGTGTGACAACGTCTTCGATTGATATGTAATCTTAAATGTCTTCTTCTTGAACAACGATTTTTCTACGAAAGATGGCTGACTTTTCTCTTTGGTGGTTTGGTTGCGGTTAATTTCATGGTCAACATTTTGTTGTGTTAGTTATGATGTTAGAGTTGTACAGTTGCAAGTGTGTTACAAGGTGGATTTTGTATCATAATTGGCTGTAGAGGGAAATTGTTTGCCTGTGTCGAGGGTAATTTAGAGAACACTACGAATGGAAATGTTTTCGATGCTTGGAGAAAGTGATCTTGTGGAGTCGTTTATATTTGGCCAAGGACGAACTCAGATACCATCGTTTGCATGTTTATTTGATTCTGTTATCTGGAATGAATGATTTACGGAGGAAGGTTATTAAAATATGATCTACTTGTGCTCTAACTTTGAAATCGATTTCGTTTGTTTCGAGTCCATTAGACATTTACATTCCTTTTTTTCTCTGGATATTTAAACGAAATTTTTGATAAAGTGAACTTGGTATCTCGAACATTTTAAGGTTTGTGTAATAAAGCTGCTTTACTTGTGGTCGTATTGTAATATCTACATGTAGGTCAATTTAAGGATCAGTTTTTTATGTATTCTGAGTTGAATTATTGTGAGTTACCTTTGTTGTCGTTTTTTGAAAAGGAAGTGTTGTGTTCTGAACCTATAAAACCATCAATGTTTTATTTTGTTTGATATGATTCACTAACATAATTTTACACATAGTGACAGAAAGGTGTATTCCAAAATGAATAGTATAAAATTACTTCATAAAGTTTTCCATCTTGTTTAACGTTAGTATGCTGGGTTTGGGCATGATTGGTGTGTGGGTTCTGTATAGTTGCTGAACAACACGTAAGGTAATTAAATTAACTATTTTAAATGAAGTGCCATAAATTTAATAATAACCTGATTTCAATATTATTTAGTCAGTTTTCTGAGCATGTTTTGTATTCTTGTTCTTCTTTTTTTAGTCATTCTAAGTTTCCATGCTGATGGCTTACAGGTTACTGTGACTTACATCCTGAAGTTGTTTGTGATGTTCTTGTGACTCTGGAATAGTTGAAGTGGAGTTGGCTGAAGATATCCCAGGGATTAATCCCAGGTTTCTCTAACAGTGTATGATAGTTTGATTTCAAGGCAGCTGCTTGAGGGTTTGTTTTCCAAGATTATTCACATGGCCTCAAGTGAGAACACACTATGACAATGGAGCTTATCAGGTTGTGGGGTCCACAAGAGTCTATTTTGACTCTTATTGGTGTTCTCCTTGTAAAGGAGTTACTCTGCTTTATCCATGGAAAAGCATTAATGATGTAGGAATGAAGCAGTAATTTTTGTTTTTGTATTATAATAGTTTCTTTTAGAGTTTGTTTTCCATTAAGCAATTTCACAGTATTTGTAACATTTATGTATGATGCAAAAACACCATTGTGTTTAGTAAAATTGAGACAACCTTTGTGGCAGAGTTTCCTTTTTGTTGCACATGTCATGTTTTGGTACCATGGGGGTGATTCTTAATTTACACATGCTTGAGTTCTTTACCTTGCTGACTTTTGCCAATGTTTAATTGCTGTCTAATCCAGCTGTTGTTCAGTTTGTGGCATGTTGAAATCATCAATTAATTTTAGCCATTGTCTGGTTTTTGATAGAGAGCATTTTTTTTTAATGTGAGGGCTGATTATCAGGTGCTTATTCATTTTGTGATTTGGAATAAAGGGCAGAAATAGAATGTTGTTTTGGGAATAAAGTACCAAGTGTAGGTGACACTTGGTCACCATTGCAAGAATGAGTTCCAATTCATTCTGCAGCTTACTTTGTGAAACAGAATCTTTTTCTCATGTTTGGAAATACAATAATTAATAAAACTATGATGTGTTAAGAGTTTAAAAAATCTCCCTGACTCTTGCTTTCTGATGGTGGCCTAAGGGGATGTCCAGGAAATTACTTGGTGCAGTAGCAGGAGCTCGCAGAAATATTCCCTTAATGTTTTGTTGAGGCTTGTAGCTTGGGAATTATTTCAACTCTTTTGTCAATCCTTGGCTTGTTTAATAGTTTTTTGCACGGTTGGAAGAATGAAAGACCTTTAGTGTGATAAAAGTATAAAGCATTACTCAAACCTTAGTAGATGTGATTGCAATGGCAGGGGTGCATTGTCTTTAAAACAAGGAGTCACACAAGGTTTTGCTTATAGTAGCCAAAATATTTAAATGGTGTGATGCTCATATTCAACTTTGAAGTCTATTTTTTTTTATTAGGGTTTAATTGATTATAATTTGGCTCTGGGGTTTGATTCTGCTGAAATCCTTTTGCCATGAAAATGTTTGTGAGTTGTGCTAAGAGAATTTATGATGGGGAATTTAAATATGTGCTTGACTAATTCCTACTTCACATGTAAAATTTTAACGGTGTAAGTATCACTTTTTTGAGTTTAAGTTTCTGTGCTGTTCAGTTCTCAAAGACAAAAAAAATTGTTTTAAATGATGCTTTATGGGGGTTAAGTAAATGGAAATTTGGAACCTGAGCGGCAAACGAATTTATGTCAGAATGAGTGAGTTGAATAAACTGGCTTCAAGCTAGGGTATGGTTACTTCGTTTCCTCTCTTCCAATTGTTGAGAAGCCAATCTAAAAGTACAAGTTTAAACATAGGATATACATACGGACCAAGTGCAAAGTTGTCAATTGTTTCTCCAATGTTGCCCGTGTCAATTAATCATTACTGACATCTAGTGCGCGAATTGAAAAAGACTCCATGAAGGCTTGAAATTCT